TATATATATATATATACACACACACACATATATACATATATACATACATATATACATACATATACACATACATATACACATACATATACATATACACACACTTTTTTTAGCAAGATTATTATACAGGATTTATATAGCTTCAACGGTCTGCACAGCACTTCACAATATAAGGAAGACATACAGTTACAAAACAAATCAAGACAAGATGGTAATGATTTGTACAAAATAAACATTCACAGGTATTTGCAGGGTGAATAGTCCTGTGAATTGTTTATAAAGAGACCAAAGTATTAAGAATGAAGTGAATGAAAGCCAGTATTTTTAGAAGGTAGTCAGCAAGGCAGCCTCTATATATCTCGCATGACATCTTTACTTTAAGGCCCCATGCACACGGGCCGCCTGTGTTAACAGGAGAAGTTATCGGGGATTTATAAACAAATTGTATGCTTTCCAGATCACTTTTTCCTGTATTTAGCAGCGTCTAGTCGCGTCTAGCTTCCTAAAACCAGGCTAAACAGTCCCAGGACGCAGAACATCATTGTTTGTATAAATGCAGCTAGACTGAACGCACCTATTGGCTGCTGAACATCTAGGTGTGCATTTAGCCACAGCAAAGTGTTACATGTTTCCAGGTTTATTTAGAAATGTGCTCCAAATGCTCCTGGACCCATACATTTTTCATTAGTGTGTGCATGAGGCCCAAGAATAAAGTCACACAGTAGTTTAAACCTTTAGATCAACCCTAGACTTAAATTCCATGCAACAATGACGACATCTGCCCTCAGACCAAGAAATTGTGATATACACGTCAGTAAAACATAAACCAGACTACTGGAAGAGAGAGGATTCCGATATTCCAAACAGCTATACAGAAGAAAAGGAAGCAGAGGAACAATTACAGCATCTAATGTATATGACATCACTTACTGCATTCAGTGTCACTTTCCAGCTACAGAAGGATCTCTGGGGGTCCCTAGGTGACATTAGGGGTCTCGGAGACCCCTGATGTCTTCATAAAAAGGACCTGTAATGTAAATTGAGTATCATTTTTTTTTTAAAAGTCCTCCACCCCCCACATGCAGATATGCGTCGGGTGCGCCTGCGTGCGAAAACAACGATTGTGCCACACGTTACATATAACCACGAACGTCAGAGTGTGAACAATAATTTTAGGGCCATTAATTACTGATAACACTAAACTGATGAGCGGTAAATCGTTTTAAGCGTCGCCTATGACCAATTTTCAGTGTGGTCGTTTTTCGCGATTTTGCGGGCGCGCACAATTTTAAGGCTTGGCATGTTTAGTGTCTATTTACCCGACGTGACCCCGTCTAGGACATATATATATATTTTTCACGTACACACACACACACTAAATTGGACCAAAATATTGCCCTTCATTCTCCTCAGCATGTCTAAATCAGGGGAAAAAAATATGTTCCCATATATCAACACCAATCTTTCCTCCTATATTTCATATTAGCTATGATGCAGGTAAGAAGAGAAAAATTATCTGGCCAACTTCAAAAGATTAACCACATGACAGCCATGACTTGTTTCTAAGGGTTATTACACAATGCTGATCGCCATGTGAAGTAGAGGTCTATGCTGCATTTGATTATAATTTTTTTAAGGCTTCCCCAACTTTTATTTCACCTCATCATCTTGCAAATAATACTTCCGGACCCAGCATGGCTATGCTGACTCCTCCACTGTATCCATGGAGGGAAGCATGGCAGCTGCCCAGGCTGGACCTCAAACATGTACGCCTTTCTACAAAACTAATGCAGCCACCACATCTAAGGACTAGTAAACGGCAAAATATTAAATTTTTGCTCGTGTTTAGTTATTCGTCATTTCACAATGTTATCTTTGTTTACACCTAGCAAACAATGAAAGGCAACAGCCATCCTCCAGTGCTGTAAAATAATGGCCATAGAATACTACCCGTTCATTACATTTTGTTTATAAATGGCAATTCCTCTTAATGACCCTATAATCTAAAGGTCTTGCCACAAAATGCTTCTGCTGTCACATAATAAAGATTCATGTAAAATGAAGCAGAAACAATAGACAGATGTCCAAAAGGAAATAGTACAGATATAAACATGAGTCAACTTAGTATCTCATGCTCCATCTGTAGCTTTGAGTTTCCAAACCTCATATGAATAAATGACTGAAAAGTCCCATTTGTGCAAAAAATATTTCAATAAGGGACTTCCTTCCTTCCACACACAGTCAAATGTATAATGACTAAGTGGTGCTCATGATTTAAAGGTCATTTACACTTTCAGGAACGGTTCCGAATAACTGTAGACAACTGACTATACACTCAGTAATATACATGTCTGGAAGCAGGCCTGCTGGGGTACAACAATTCAGGAAACCTCTACCGTTACCTCAAACTACCAAGTCACAGGTCTGAAAACAAACGTCAAAAAATGACTCATGCTATTCTGATTTGAACAGCAATCTAATGGAACAGCATGACATTATGTTATAAAAAGGATCTGCAGGATAAGTGGACCTGCATGCTTTCTATAACCTTCATTTGTACCCATTGCCAGACTCATTCTAAAGCAGAAAGGCATGGATCTTTTGGAAGCCATTAATGAGAACTGCATTGTCCTTCTACAAAGTTACCTATAGTATAAGGAACTGCCCTTAGAAATTAAAAGTACTATGGTATATGATTCAGTTAAAAGGCCACTGATAACCCTCTTGTGCTGTAAAACTTAAAAGCTTTTGAATGATTAACACTGGAGTATCTAATTCCAAAAGCGTTGATTAAATTTTAAGGTTTCATGGCCTGAGAAATCTCAGGAATATGAAACTACACAGCAGGATATCCAAGCTGCCAATATTGTACTGCACTTCATTTAAAGCGCAACTGCACCTTTGCATAGTCTGAAGCTTGCTGTGCCCCCAAGCCCCTTGCCTGTCCCCGATCCAGTGAGGCATCACCCATGAAGTCACTGAGCCACTTGTCGAAATCTTCTGAGACGGACATACAAATGCACTGGAGAGTTTGTACTATCTATGGAACTGACTGAGGAACACACAAAGACCAAGCAAGCCCCTCTCAGAAGACTTTGACAAACAACTCTGAGTTCATGGGTGATACCTCACTGGATCAGTAGGTATCGCACCATACTCCATTCCGGTAAACCCCTTGAGATGGGTGCTGAAAGGACTGCGGAAGGCTCTGCTATAAATGTAGGAAAGAAGATGTTACCAGCACATGGGAGAATTGTGTCCAAACAAAATGCCTATGGACGCATAGTGTCACAAGAATGACAACGTTTCGGGGCTGTGCAGGGTCCCTTCCTCAGGCACAGTATGACCATGTGATGGTGGCATCCTTTTTCCTACACATCACTGGATCAAGGACAAGTTGAAAACAAGACAAGCATGGAGAGCGGGGTGCTTGTGACCGTGCAAGCTACAACACAAGTGTTACACTTCAATTGTGGAATCCTTAATGCTTCCCTTTAGGTGTCCTATACCATGGACTGCTAAGTACTTTCTAAGGTTGTTGTGTGATGAGAAATGACCTTAAGGGTGTAGGCGTAGAGGAAATTGTGGTGCAGGCTAGGGATCTTCCACGTACATTGGTTGGTTTGTGGTTTAAAATGCCTTTGGTACATTTCTTTAAATAGGATTAGACAAGTTTACAGAAATGCTTGGCATTACACTTGTCAAACTAGAACAAAAATGACAGAAAACTCAAGAGCTGGGACTATATAAATACAGGACTGCGGATACTATCAGGTTTCCTAAAATCAATATATCCCACAAATATTACTAAGCTAACTACCTCAGATGTTGGAACCCCCCTGTACCAGATGAAGCATTCTTATGCCGGTCTCTCTGGAGTTACACTGATTGGAAGGACAATGGCACACACCAGGACTGCATTGACACTGTTTGGGGTGTCTGTGGTTGGTCACTGGAAACATACTCTAAAGCAGGTCTATCTACTGATCTATTTTTTTTTCGTTTAACCCACAGGCTGAACGAAAAATAGACCCAATCCCTCCAACACCAACAGCGTGTCAATCGAGGAATCCCGCTGTTTACATTGTATTCCGACAGGTGCTGCTGGCCCCCGTCAGAATACCCGACCAGAGCAGGCAGCTCATTGGCTGTCAGCTCTGATCAATCGAAGATATTCCGACCGGTTCTTTTGATCAGCTGGACGACGGATGCCAATCGAAACGGTGCCGACTGCTGCACACACTGTGCAAATTTTGTCCAGTTCCTCAAAAGCGGCCAAAATTCGAACAGTGTATGGGCACCTTAAGGAAAGCTACATATAGTACAGTAGTTACAAACTAGGGTTGCCCTTGTTCCAGGAGCTATTACGTTTCACTGAAGAGACATCTTTTTTCCCTGTAAACTAAATATGAAAATGAAAAACTATTTCATGACTATAGATCCCTTGACTACTCTTACACCCGGTACAAATATTCTCCAGGTACAGGGATCTAACTTGCACTTAAGAAGTTTCATTAAACCTGACAGATACATAAAACTGACTAAACCAGGATGACGTTTCTTTAGTAGATATCTGGAAGGAAAGTAAGATCTGAATATTAGTTTAAAATGGCAAAAACAACAAATCTCATAACATGCATTTCCTAAATGCCAATACTTTAGTCTACAAAAAATAATTTGTACTGGTTTTAAATTTTAGCCTAAACATTGATTGAAATTGAAAGGAAAATCAATTTGAAAATACAATTTTCCTTCATGGCTGCCCCCATTATATACCTCCAAAGCCAAGGCTGTCTTGTCGTAGGCATTGGGGACTCGCTTCTGGATAACCCTGGCAAAAATGGGCCCATTCTGGAGGTTAGGCAGCGGAGTGTTGACACTGGGCTGGGCATAAGGCCCTGGCTCCGGCCCACCCAGTGGCTGCGGGTGCGAATTTTCCTGGTTACCTCCAATCAGAGCAGACCCGGAAGTTGGGGGAGGCTTGTACTTTTCCACATAAGGCACAGGTATCATGCCCCGTCTTCCGTCGCTGTCCTCTGCATTCCACCACTGCTCCTCAGGCTTCTCCCGGATTCTCAGGATGTCTCCTTTCTTAAATGGAAGATCTTCATCATCATTGCCATTAAAGTCAAAAAGAGCCCTTACATATTCGGCTTCTTCTTGCTTCTGGATAAGTCCAGACTGCTTAGACTTGGAAATAGGTTCTATTAAAGTGGTAGTGTCCAGATAATGTATCTTATAAAATTCCAGTAGAGCAGGTAATGACTCAAACTCTTGATCCCCTATCCGAAACCTGGTTTGGCCAATGCCTATAAAAAATAGAAAGGGGAAAACATGAGCAAACAATCTCAAATAAGCCATGTGATCTATAAATAAAAAAGGTATATACCATGGAACACTGCAGCTCAATGACAGAAAAAGTGACACTAAAGTCTACACAACAATTAAGACCGCTTAGTGCCAGAGAAGAGGAAGATGACACTTTGCGTGACCAACATGAAGAGAACTTTCAGGAGGGAGATTAGGGAGTCCAGACTTTAGCTTTATTTGCACAGATGCAGTGCTCTGGATCAACAGTGGGCAAAGCGTTCTATTTTAGGCTTTTCTTTTGTTTTTTATATCGAGGTTGAACTCGATGGACATGTGTCTTTTTTCAAACTGACTGTTTAACTAAGATGTAACTTCTAAGGCTGGCCATACACAGATATATTTTTTTCATGATCAACACTAACAGCATGTCGATCGAGGAATCCCGCACTTTACATACAGAGGCTGCTGGCACCTGTCAGAACACCTGACCAGAGCGGGCAGCTCATTGTCTGCCGCCTCTGATCGTTCGAAGATTTGCCAATCGAAAGAGTGCCGAAAGTGGCACACAGTGTGAATTTTGTCCGCTTCGTCAAAAACCAGCAAAAAAAAACAACAATGTATGGCCACCTTAAAGGAGAACTATGACATGAGTGATTTTCACTCACCTCATAGTTCTAGCCGACCTGTGACAATGAGACTGTCACAGGTCGGCTCAGTAGATCGGGAGGTGAGAGAACACATACCGGGTTCCCTCACCTCTCGATCCTGTCACGGCTCTCTGCCGTGACATGGGGAGGGGCTGGATTCCCCTCTCCCCGCTCCGATCTGCCAGCGCTGACTGGCGGAACGGACGGGGGAGGGGGCGGGTACAGCTGGCTCTGCCTCTAGATAGGCAGAGCCAGCGGTCACTCACGCAGCTGGGCGGATCCCGTCATCTAAGTCGGGATCCGCTCCAGGTGCGGTGTCTCAGTATATGCTGAACGGTGCTTGCGATGGTTGTAGAGTGTATGGGCACCTTTATAGTGGCCATACACTGTACAACCATCGCAAGACCTTAGTCTTGCGATGGTTGTAAAGGGATTAAAAAAACGTACGATCTGCCTATCTTGGACAGGCAGATCGCACTCTCGATCATCACAAGCCCACCCCCCTGAGGGGCGGGCTTCCGATGACAGCAATGCTGAACGGGCAGTGTGCGAGTGCGCACACCGGCCCGTTCAGCATTTGTCTTCCGAGCACCGTTCTAACCAGCCGAGAATCGTACGATTCCCAGCTGGTTTTCGAACATGCTGGTTCGACGGAAGACGTGCGACCGTACAGTAGAAACGGTCGCACGTCTCCGTTCACACTGCTCGATTCTCGTACGATCGCGGGATTTCCCGCGATTCTCGTACGAGAATCGAGCAGTGTATGGGCACCTTAAGAGCAATCCAGCTCCAAGGTTCAGGTGACTATAATTTTATCTTTGAATCTAGACAAAAATGAGCACTTAACCCTTAGTGTGGGGGGTAGCCCCACTACAAGGGTTAAGAAAAATTTACCTGGGGTTTTTTTTTTAAGGTGAACTCTGGGGGGCTGAAAAGCATCTACTGCACTGCAAGGGTTAAATGTTTTTTCTTTGTTTTTCTTGGTGCTGTAAGCATCAATTGGCATTTAAAGGAGAACTGAGGAGAGTGCTTTTAACTCGCCCTCAAAGTTCTAGCCGACCTGTGACATTGAAATTGTCACAGGTAGGCTCAGTAGATCGGGAAGTGAGCGAACACATACCAGAGTTTGCTCACTTCTCGATCCTGTCATGGCCCTCTGCCGTGACAGGGGAGGGGCTGGATTCCCCCTCCCCAATCCGCCAGCGCTGACTGGCGGAACAGACGGGGAGGGGGCGGGTACAGCTGGCTCTGCCTCTAGATAGGCAGAGCCAGCTGTCACTCAGGCAGCTGGGCGGATCCAGACATAATTGTCGGGATCCGCTTCAGCTGCGGTGTCTCAGTATACCGCGAGCTGCAGCTCTTGGTATACTGAGCTTAGGGTGACGGGAGGACGCTAGTTTGTGTCATCCCGTTACCCTAAGGAGAACTATGGGGAAAAGACCTAAGAGGAGTGTTGCATGAGACCAAAGTAGTGGTGAGGAGTCCACATCGTTAAACAAAGTGGCATTTTAGCCAGGCAAGCAGGAACCCAAGCTACAGCTCCCATGATTCCTTTCTGCCGACACATTTGTGGGAATAGATTTGTCTGTGGGTGCTGTCAGTTGAAGACCTTGGCTGTGGCTAAGCAGGAGTCATTTCGGAGGGCACAGCAGATGCTAGGGCGATGATACTGCTATGATTAAATAATTGTGCTGCAGCGACGTCGCCTGAGGGAAGGAAGTGGGAAAGGAAACCTGTTGCCAGTATAAAAGGGATATTA